CCTGGGAATAATGTGGACTTGTTTATTTGTCAGGGTGCAGTGTGCGTCTCCCTCTGCCTCCTGGCAGGAGTGTGAGTGCGACCTGCTGTGGACCAGTGACAGCGCCAAACGCCTCATCTGTCACTCCCTGGATCAAGTCCTGGACAGTTAGACAGAAGCTGCCAAAGAATCCAGCCCTGTGTTTCTCTGCTACACTTTTAGCAGCACTGTTTTACCTGTGAGTGAGTGAGTGAGTGTGTGTGTGTGAGAGAGAGAGAGAGAGAGAGAGGGGTCTTTTTTTAATATATTTTCTACGGGGAAACTTGTATTTTTTAATGGGATTTCTATCAGACGACACTCGACTTCGTGGTCGACGTCCAGGTCAAAATGCAATAAAGTAAATTTGTTTATTTGTTGACTTTGTTTTTTTTATTAATTATTTTATTTTAAATGATCAAAGATTATAAAGAAACTTTTTTTCTTCTGTAGTTTTCCTGTTTATATCAATGAAAAAAATCAAATAATAATAATAATAATAATAATAATATAATAAACTCTCACGGACAGAACAGAAAATCAGAAAAAGTAAATGTTCTAGAATAGAATAGAAAAAAAATCGCAGTGACATTAATTCAAATAATTTTATTAAATATGATTCTGTTGAGGAGGTGGGCGGAGCCTACAGTGACACATCAGCATTTGTTATTAACTAACGAGATTTAACTTCACTGTATTGTACTGTTTGGTTTAATTTAAATCATTTATAAATTGTGTTTTTTTTAAATATGAAAATAAAACGTTTAATTATTTTACATTTCCATGAACTCAGTGAAAACAACTGCGGCAGAAAAATAAGAAACTTTGATCAGTGAAAATCTGCCCACATCACTGACATCCCATAATGCACTGCAGCTCCTTCAGTGTCCAACCTGAGAAATAAAACAAAAACAAACATCCTTCAGCAGTTTAGTTTAGTTTAGTTTAGTTTAGTTTAGTTTAGTTTAGTTTAGTTTAGTTTAGTTTAGTTTAGTTTAGTTTAGTTTAGTTTAGTTTAGTTTAGTTTAGTTCAATCAACAAGTGGAAGGAAAAGAAACAAAAACAACAAACACAGATATTTGTCTGAAGGATTCACTCGTTCTGGACTGGAACCGATCCCTACAGTCGTCACACGAGGGCGGGGTTACGACCCTTGAAGGATTCACTCGTTCTGGACTGGAATCGATCCAACATTCACACTAACGTTCACACTGACGTTCACACTGACGTTCACACTAACGTTCACACTAACATTCACACTAACGTTGACACCTGTGCTCATTTTAGAACATTCAAAATATTTCTAAGTGTTTTTGGACAGTGGGAGAATACTGCAGTTTTACTGCAGTTTTACTGCAGTTTTACTGCAGCAGGTCTCCCAGGTAACAGAGGAGGATTTTAGTGCTCACCACTCAGGAGCTCTGCCAGGGCCGGGCTTCAAACCAACAACCCTCCAAAGACCAGCAAAGCTCAGTGACGGCTACAGGTGGGACCAGAACCGGTGTTTGATCACCGCGTCACTTTCCTGGAGCTCAGACACGAAGCGTCGACCCGTAGGTGACGACTGAACGGTGGACAGAGCTGAAGCGGCGACTGTTGCGTCAGCGCCTGGTCCGACTGTCTCCCCCCCGACACCCACAATGGCTGGGGGTGGTCAGAGAAGGGGGGGGGGGGGGGGGG